TTTAATCGTTTGTTTTTTTCGTTTATTTTTGTTTTTTTACTTTTTCACAGCAATTTGTGAGGCCTAGGAAAAACAATACATCAACAATAACTTCTTACACTTACCCGATAACATCCAACTGAATATTAATTCAACCTCACTTTTAGCAACGACGAACTCAATAACCCGCAAACTTGCAAAACTCAAACAAGACAAAATTGCAAAACTTAAACAAGAACAAACTTGAAAAACTCAAACAAGAACAAACTCACTAAACTCAAACAAGAGCATGAAGTGTACAATTAAAATCACTCGTCAACAAAGTCACAAGCTTGAGTTCATATGGATGTATGGTGCATGTTGTACACTAGGAAGCATAGAGGAGCAAATCGTCTACACTGGAAAGCCCATCAAAGACAAAACTCGAGATCGACTTTAAGTCAATGATATGTAATAAAAAACTCAACTAAGCAACAAGAAGAAAGAATGAAAAGAAAAGATATCAAAGGAAAAAAAATTGGAGTTTTTGGAATAAAGATAGTGTAAATGATTAAACTACTCTTATACCAAAATTAAATAATATATGTCATGGGCCGAAATTGATCAACTACACAAGACACAGAATAAACTAACTTAATGGAACTAACTAATAAACAATCAGAAAGAACAAAAAACTAAACGGAACTAACTAAGAACGAAATGAATGAATTTACTAAACGGAACGAATAAAGCGAGAAAAAGGATAATCAAATGAGAAGCAAACCTAATTAAGTTCTAACGTAAGGACAACCTGATACCCTTCTAGCATCGAACAATCCTCCACGAATGCAGCACCTTGGTTAACACTTTGAAGAGCTCTTCCACCTTCCCCAAATACCGCGAACTTGAGGCTTTATACTCAAACCCGAATTTTGAAACTAAACCCCATGAAGCATGCAATGGAATTGCATTCCATGAAATATTAGACTAAAAGAGAAAGTATTGCTATCAAGCATAACTTTCCATAAAAGAAAGTGATCATAAATGATCAAATTTATATAAAAATATATTTGCTTGGTGTGTCTTACAAAGCACCTTAAGGGTCCTATTTATAGGAGTGGGGGATGGGGCAAGTGGATTGATTTTCCAATGTGTGATGCGTTTTGTATAAGTAATCTCCCAATGAGTGACACCTAGCTAATGGTCCCCATATGCATGTGAGAGGCATGTGAGAGCTTATTATATATATATGTGGTCCCAAGGGATGGTCCACCCCACTTGTGGATGTGCAAACCTAGGTTTGTTTAATTACATATTAAACCTAGGAGGTTTGCACAACTTTTCCGTTAGTTGTCTGATTGAGGTGTTGCAAACTCCAATGTCGGCATCCATTGACAAGTGTTTGGATATTGCAACATGGGCTTTAATTGCTCCTAAACTTGAAAACATCATCATCAAATCTTGTAATTTGTCAATGCAAGCTTTCTCTCGGGTTCTCGAAGCTACTCCGATTGGAGGTTTTGGAATTGTGAAACTTGACGTTCGGACATCCATATCGGACACCAAAAGAAATTATAAGACACTTTCATTATTGATGTTGGAAGAAAGAAAGACATACACTATAAATACATATGTTGCAGCGCATGACAAGAGAATCCGCTTGCAACTCCTGGTTTCCTCTCAAGTTCTATCTTTAGGCATGGATTTACAGTATTCGTCAAATGGAAATTCATCTTCAACAAACGGTTGAAACATTGCTTGACTTCTCTATAAAATGAAACAAGCCTGTCCAATTGAAAAGCATAACCCAAAACAACAAAATTTAAGTTTTGTAAATACCATAGAGCACACGTTTCTTTCCATATTACTTTTATAGTTAAAACCATACATCATTTTCAAAAAAGACAATAGCCATATGCTACAAAGACAACATGTTAATTAATCGAATACGACAGTCTTAACTATTCTTAAAATTGGTATCTGGAATGATAGATATCATGATAATAACTATGGTTCAAATAAAACTTTAATTGAAACCATTTTACCTAACACTAAATAAGGTAATCAGATAGATCAAGAACAAATAAACTTGACAGATGCCAATTAGTCTTCGGTATGATTTTTTGAATTTAGAGAGAAAAGAAAATAATATGAAGTATATTTGGGTATGCTTAGGAATATTTACTTACCTTTAGATTGAAGAATATACCTTCAAACATAAATCATTTATAAAGAAAATGGCTAACGTCATATACTATAAGTGTTGTCCAGTGTGATCCCAGATGTATCTTATAATGATAATTGTGAAAACTTAAGCCTTTGCAAGTGCACATTCACGTGTATCTCAAAGCACCTACAGCTGAACTGTTTGAGCTTCATTGTCAATCAAATTCCGAATGTACAAACACGGCAATGTAGACTACCCAACTGAGATAACAAATCCCTAATTTTCTACAACGTTTTAGACAATATCAACGAAATAAGTTCGCAGAAGAAGCTATTACTTTTGTGGAAACAATAAAGATGTTTGGATAAGTAGGTATAACTAACTATAATCGAAACCAAAAGATATTAAGAGACACTTTCAATAATGATTTTGGAAGAAAGAAAGGCATACACTATAAATGCAGGTATTGCAGTGCCTGATATGAGAATCCACTTGCAACTCCAAGTTTCCTCCCGATGTTCTATCTTTAGCCATGGATTTGCAATATTCGTCAAAAGGAAATTCATCTTCAACAAACGGTTGAAACATTGCTTGACTTCTCTATAAAATGAAACAAGCATGTCCGATTGAAAAACATAACTCAAAACAATGGAATCTAAGTTTTGTAAATACCATAGCGAACGCTTTTCTTTCCATATTACTTTCTAGCTAAAACCATATATTCTTCTCAAACAAGACAATAACCATATGCTACAAAGACTACAACTTAATTAATCGAATACAGCGATCTTAACTATTCTCAAAATTGATATCTGGAATCAAATTTATCCTAATAATAACTATGGTTCAACTAAAACTATAATTGAAACCATTTTACCAAACACTAAAATAAGGTGATCTGATAGATCAAGAATAAATATACCTGTCCATTGCAGTTAGATTTGGGTACGATTTTCTTATTTTGAAGAGGAAAGAAAATAAAAAGAACTAGATTTGGGTGTGCTTAGGAATATTTAGTTACAATATTCTACAATGATTGCAAGTTAATTAATTGAATACCGCAAATTTGACTATTCTCAAAATTGATATCCGGAATCATATCTATCATGATAATAACTATGGTTCAAATAAAATTATCATTGAAACCATTTTACCAAACACGGAAAGAAGGTAATTAGATAGATAAAGAATAAATAAACTTGACCGATGCCATTTAGTCTTCGGTATGATTTTCTTATTTTGAATAGGAAAGAAAATAATATGAAATAGATTTGGGTGTGCTTGGGAATACTTAGTTACCTTTAGATTGAAGAATATACCTTAGAATATAAATCTTATAAGGAAATTGGCTAACATCATATATTATAAGTGTTGTCCAGTGTGATCCCTGATGTATTTTAGAATGATAGTTGTGCAAAAATTAAGCCTTTGCAAGTACACATTACATGTATGTTGATGCACTTACAGACGAATCATTTGAGATTCGTTGGAAGTGAAATTCTGAATATTCAAACACGGCAATGTAGACTACCCAAACAAGATAAGAAATCCCTAATTTTCCAAAAATTGTGATACAATATCAACAAAATAAGTTCATAGAAGAAGCTACTACTTTAGTTGTATCACTACCAAAAAAATGGTCATTTGTAGCAGTTCAATAACTGCTACAAATGGCCATTTTTTGGTACAAAAAGCTATTTGTAACGATTTTGTATCGGATTTTGACCGGTGCATATACTCGAGTTACAAAAAATCTCTGTACCGACTTTTTCCGCAACAAAAAATGCGTGGTCAACGCAGTTACTGTAACAGTGTTTGTAACGCTATCATTGTACTTTCGATTTATTTGTAGCGGCCATTTACCGTTATAAAAGAATCATTACAATAAACGTTTATCCACTTGTAACGGCTTTTGTTACGGTAGTAATTCGTTACAATAGTTGGTTTTCAGAAACCTAGTTAATATTTTTTGTACCAATATTTGTAACGACCAATTTATTGTATCAAAAAAGGTTTCCTTATTTTTTCAATAATAACCTAAAAAAAATGGTTTCGGGACCGAAAAACTTGTACGATGTGAGAAAATACTGCCAAATGACATTACAAAATATTAAAATATTACTGCAATTCTGTATCACCATAAGTTGTAGCAAGTACGCACTGTGTAGAATTATAAATATTTTGCAATATATCCTAACATATATGGCAAAGCGTAGTAACAAACACACAAAATGTAGCAGATACAGCAAGTTCAACCAACATAAAGGACTCAGCATCAATCCACAAACAAATGTCAATCATCATAGAATCACGTGCCATGCTGCAACGCCCCATGCACCGTTAAAGTGGTCGTACACTGTAGTTACGGGCGATGAACAAACTGCCAACTTTGTGCAAAATTATATAAGAATTTATTTGTGAGATGGTTAAGTTGTAATCCAATAGAAAATCTTGTAAATGTGGTTGCGTACATCTTTGAATGTCCAGTCGATTGGCTCGGCGCGGACAACCTCACCGAGTGTTTGTGCTCCGGAGGTTGTCCGTAGAATAAGCGCAGCCTCCGAAACAGTAGCAGATTTAACAAAAACCCTTACTATGTCAACAGTGTTACCTATGGACATATAAAGAAAACATGTGCAAATCATCGAAAAGAAAATAAGACTCACGTTTTACATAATCAATATAAAATATTAAAGATATTAACTAAAACATTATAGCATACGTAAGAAAAAAGGTCGGAGATGATCGCCTAATTTAACCATCCATACAACAGCGTAATCAAAATTGTAAAATATAGATTAGTATAACTATAATTATAGCATGGATCCTATCTTGATGACATCCGGACCAACATGTGTACAACCCCGCAAGTATAAAACAACCAGCAATGTGATCAATTTATTTGATACATGTGAAAAGCTGTTTGTTTAAACAACCAACTTAAACATGTACCAATTTAAAAACAACAATTAATTGAGTACTGTTAATGTATCCAAATACCTAACACATAAGTTACATAGAAAATCAAAGTGATAAATTCTGACCGCATTATCCTTTCAGCAAGCAAAAAAATTCCAAACAGGCTGGCAACCAAAAGATCTTGCCTGAACAATCTCTGGAATAAATCTGTAGCATTCAAAGTCTCATTCAATTAGATTAAGAACAAAATATGATAGCTAAGATTAGAATAAAACATAGACCAAATGACATTAGGTCTTTGTTATCATGAGGAAGTACATTCCATGCAATAGTATCAGTCACAGCTGTGAATATCCAGTTCAACTCCCCAAGAAGGGTCTTCTTGTCTGTTTGGCGGCCAGGAATTCTATCTATCAGAGAATAATCAATTGATTCATGATGAAGTGACCGAAAACTGAAAAGATACAAAACAAAAACAAATAAACTAGCTTAACAGGCAATTGGTCATCAAAATGCATGATCAAAAAATATCTTATCAAGCGAAGACAATTACATATCAGAAAAATTAACACGTTTAGATATTCAGGATTCAGACTCCTAATAAAGGCTTGTAGCCTAGTTTGTTTTAATGACCAATAACTATTTATAAAAGAAAATAGAAAAAATCCACGTAGGATTACTTCAACAAGTGATTTCATTTTTTTTCAGTCATTCAATTTAATATAGCTCTTAGAGAATATGTTGTGCAATTGCATCCTGTTCGAGCCACCTACAGGACATTCTGAGAGAGAAAGAAGAGATAGACTATTCTTCATTTCACCAACACAAACAACAGACACTAACCAACTGGTGATAACTACATAATAATGGAACATAAACCAAAAACATGATGTAAATGGCAATTAAAATTAGGAATAAAATTGAGTTGTGGATCACCATCTTAGTGCCATTTTTATGTGTTGTAAGGCAGGAAGTAAACACATCAACAGGAAACTCAGCACTTTGTGGTAGCGTCTCATGAGCTTCACAGGCTGCAGCAAAATACAGTTCCTCATGGAAGATCCAGAACTTGAGGTACTATTTTCCTTGAGCTGTGTTGTTAAAATATAGAGAACAAAGAAAAAAAGGTTAAAACCAACTCACTAGCTCAAATGAAGCTTTCTTGGTAGAAAAACTGTACCTCAATGAAGGCATTCACAATAAATCCAGCAGCAGAGCAATCAAAAACATATATTGAGGGGGTCTTCAACCAGGAATTGAGATCAATGATTTGTAGCGGGATGTACTGTGTATAGCTCTACAGAAACAGCTAAATTACAAAATGAAGTCATGGGTAATTCAGACAATATAGAGTTACTTTTTCCCTCATTGATCTGACACATTCAAAGAGAAACTAACATTTGTTAATAAATAATGAGCAGTGGCAAGGACTGCTCACACTATGAACACTCATAACATAAAATAAATTCATTGAAACTTAACTAGAAACACAAGAAGTAAATAATAACATTAAAGATTAAAAAGCCGAGGGGTTTGTTAATCTATGGCAACAAGAAAAAAGAGGGAACTAATACAACCAAATAATGTAACTGGTTTTTCACAACATAACTACCCGCCTAGCTATCAAGCTGTCAACATGGAGTTGCAGCTGAAGGAATGAATGAGTATATGCTCCCCCACTGCAACCTCATTCTCATCCTCCTTCTCATTATGATACATACATACATACATACATACCAGGAAGAATACTATCCGCCCAGGAACGTACCCACTAATGTTGTTCAATTGTCTTAGAAAATGACATTTCATTTATCAGATAACCATTCCATATTCAGAGACGTGTTAATGTAAAGTATGGAGTGCATTCAGAGAAGAATTTAGATCGGTAAGAGAAACTACATTTACAACTACGGCTAGTATTCGATACATCCAAATGCTAGGAATATAAATCAACATTTTCAGACCTGGTTATAGATCTAGTCGAAACTCAAAACATTCCAAAAAATAACCTTTTATAACAATTAAGAAAATTGTATTGCTCTACTATGTAACAATGTATTGTGTAGATATTTGTTATGAAAGATATATGCACCGTGTTCTTTCCCTGCCCCGAAACAGCATATGATATGCTTGATCTATAATCATGACCAAATTAAGCTAACCATAAGTATGGTACAAATTTTTCGAGGACAATAGAGTTCGAGGTTTACCTTGAGGGTCGTAAGATTTGCTGAAATCTTACCAAAAGCCTGATTGTTTTCTTCCAAAAGATTTTTTGTTGCGCCGCTCAATGCTGAAACAGATACATGGAATCATTTCAACTAGAAAAACTACATAAGCAGAGCAGAGGGCCGAGATCCACAACCATAAGTAAAGAGGTGAGTTTATTAATAATAGACTGTATCGAACACCAGAGAAGGATCGACGCTCACATTCTCTCCTCTGTCCCCAAACTCATCCAGATAGTACAGCAGCTGCCTTTTCGTGATGTATTTCACTTCGGCTTCCGTCAGCGGTCTGCCATTGCTCCCGATTTGGAGCTGCGTAGCATCAGCCGAGCGCAGAACCAGCAAAAACAAAGCGAACACCAACAAAACGCTCCCCGAGCACCGCCAAAAAACGCAGGTAAACGAACTCCTCTGCTTCATCTCACAGCAGACATTTATCTCCAGCCCTATCCGCCTTCGCACCTGAAAAAAACACACAAAAAATATACTCCGACGCAGAATGCGACCGCCAAACAGCAGAGATCTGGGAACAAATTGCGGAGGCGTTGAAGGCGGTAGTAGTAGTAGCAGTAGGTGCGTTCAGATTTCGGTGGCTGTGGTGGTAATGGCGGTGGTGGTGGCCTTTAGGGATTGTGTGAATGGCAATCGCAAATGGACGTAATGATGAGAGAGAAAAAAAAATTAAAAATTAAAAATATTTAATAAATAAATAAAATTAATTATTAAAAATTAAAATTTTAAAAATTAAATTAAAATTTTAAAAGATAATAATTATTAAATTATTTATAAAATAAAAAAAAATTATTTGAATTCTGCAATAAATTTAATTTGTTGTTATTTATGTCGCAATTTTGCAACAGAATATTTCTTTGCATAATTTTTGGAAAATCTGCAATTTAATCTATGGCTATTTCCATGGAAATTTTGCAACGGAATATTTTATTCGTTGCATAATTTTTGGGAAATTTGCAACAAATTTAATATGTTACTATTTCCGTCGCAATTTTGCAACGGAATATTATATTCCTTGTGTAATTTCAAAAATATTTTTAACAAATTTATTCTATTGCAGCATTCTCTCACAACATATCGCAATTGAGACTATTTCTTTGTTGCCTAGTAAGTTCCGTTGCAATTTTGCAATAGATTGCATTCCGTAGCAATATTCCATTACAATTTTCAATTATTTTTGTTGTGATTTTATGTCTGTATTATATATGACATATATATATATATGTAAATATAATATATTATTTCAGATTATTTTAGATTTATTTTGGAATTTAAAATAGAATTATTGTAGTTGTAACGGAAATATGCTGCAACAAAATAAAATGTGTTGACCATACCAAAAATACCATTTGTTACGGTAATATCTGCTACAAAAAATAGCTTTTGTAGCAAAAAAATTGTAGCGACTAAGATTTCGCTACAAATTGCCATTTTTTTGGTAGTGTATAACTAACGATAATGGAAACCAAAAGAAATCATGAGAGACTTTCAATAATGACGCTGGAAGAAAGAAACACAAACACTATAAATGCATATGTTTCATTGTATAGCAAGAGAATCCGCCTGCACCTCCGGGTTTCTTCACCAAGTTCCATCTTTGGCCATTGATTTGCAATATTTGTCAAAAGGAAATTCATCTTCAACAAACGGTTGAAACATTGCTTGACTTTTCTATTTAATCAAACAAGGCCGTCCGATTGAAAAGCATAACCTAAAACAACTGAATTTAAGTTTTGTAAATACCATAGAGCACATTCACGTGTATTTTCAAGCACCTTTAGCTGAATAATTTGAATTTCAACTCAAGTGAAATTTTTAATCTAAAAACACGGAAATGTATACTACACAAATGATATAACAAGTCACTAATTGTCTACAAATTCTGACACAATATCAACAAAATAAGTTCGCCAAACAAGCTATTACCTTAGTTGAAACAATAATCACGTTTGGATAAGTAGGTATAACTAATGATAGAGGAAATCAAAAGAAATCATGAGACACTTTCAATAATGATGCTGGAAAAAAGAAAGACAAACACAATAAATGCATATGTTGCAATGCATGACAAGAGAATCCGCTAGCAATTCCAGGTTTCCTCCCCAAGTTCCATGTTTGGCCCTGGATTTACAATATTTTTCAAGAGGAACTTAACATTTCAACAAACGGTTGAAACATTGCTTGGCATTCCTATGACATGAAACAAACCTTCTGATTGAAAAATTTAACCCAAAACAACCGAATTTAAGTTTTGTAAATACCACATAGCACACTTTTCTTTCCATATTACTTTTCTACTTAAAACTATACATAATTCTTAAACAAGTCAATAACCATATGCTACACAGAGTGCAAATTAATTTATCGATTACCGCAGTCTTAACTATTCTCAAAATTGATGGTCGGAATCTTATCTATCATAATAATCATTATTTTTCAAAAAAAATTCTAATTCAATCCATAATCACATAGATGAAGAATGAATAAATTTGACCCATGCCAATCAGTTTTTGGAACAATTTTCTTATTTGTAAGAGGAAAGAAAAGAATATGAACTAGATTTTGGTGTGCTTAGGAATATTTAGTTACTTTTAGATTGAAGAAGAAACCTTAGAACATAAACCATTTTATAAGGAAAGTGGCTCACATTATATAATATAAGTGTTGTCAAGTGAGATCCCAGATGTATCATAGATTGATAGTTGTGCAAAAATTAAGCCTTTGCAAGTGCAAATCCACGTATATGTAGAAGCACCTATATATGAATTATTTGAGCCTCATTGTTAAATTACAAATGTACAATCACGGCGATTTAGACTACACAAACAATATAAGAAATGGCTAATTTTATAAAAATTCTGAGACAATATCAATAAAATAACTTTGCCCAAGAAGCTATTACTATAGTTGAAATACCAAAGACGTTTGGATAAGTAGGAATACCTAACGATAATGGAAACCAAAAGAAATAATGAGACATTTTCATTAATTCTGCATAAAGAAAGAAAGATATACAATATAAACGCATATGTTGCATTGCATGACAACATAGTCAGTTTGCAACTCTAACTTTCCTCCCCAAGTTCAATTGATGGCCATGGATTTGCAATATTTGTCAAAAGGAAATTCATCTTCACCAAACGGTTGAAACATTGTTTGACTTTACCATGAAATGAAATAAGCCTCTCTGACTGAAAAGATTAACCCAAAACAACTGAATTTACGTTTCGTAAATACCATAGAACACGGTTTTTTTTTTCATATTACTTCTCAAGCTAAAACTATATATTATTTTGAAACAAGACAATAACCATATAATACAAAGATTGCAAATTAATGAATCACACTACCAAAAAAATCGTTTTCTGCTACGGCCGGAAATTCGTAACAAAAAACCAATTTTTGTGCAATTTGCGTATTTGCTACGCCTAAGTGACGACTTTTATCTTTAACGTGTACTCGCGTAACGAATGTTTTTTGCCACGCACATTTTCGTAACTACCACTCTTGGTCAACGATCCTTATGGCAAGCTTTTTGTTACGATATTTGTTACAAATTTTTTCTCGTAATAAAAAGTCGAGCTTTCCACGCATGTGCCAGGTCTTTTAGTCATGATATTTGTTACAACAATGCCTCGCGTTACCAAAAATGTTACTCTGATCCCTTGTCAAAGTACGCTTTTTGTTACTATTTTTTGTTACGTCATTGAAGCCGTAATTAACAATATATTCTCTTGTGGTCACGAAACAGGCCGTAACAAAAATATCCCTTCATATTTGTTACGTCGAAAAACCACTTTTCGTTACATCATTTCATTTTTTTGTTACGTCATTGAACCCTTAACAAAAATATCCATTCTTATGGTCACAGAACCGGTCGTAACAACAAACACCAAAACCAACATTTTGTTACGTCATTTCTCGTTTTTGTAACGAAAAAATAGCGTCTCATAAAAGAGTAGTTGTGGAACAGTTGAATTTGTGCGTAATATATTTACCTGCTGTGATCTTTCTTATACAACCATGCTATCAATATTACGATCGGCCATAATTCCAAACAATAAACACTATAAGGAAATCCCAACATAGGATATTAACATAACAGTATTTACTAGTCGATGTCCTCCAGCAAACAAAAAAGTAAATTAACCCATCAAACAAGGCTAGCAACATCTCCACTTCGACATTATGTTCCGTCAAACACAAGCATGTCAAACATCCAACCTAGTAATAAGGAAGTGGGGAGATCCATCAATCCATAGCAACAATTATTCCCATACAAAAGATACATCCAAATGTCTATGCATCTATTCCATAGGTATTTCACATAGCAATTAGAACCTACCATCCAAGAACATCCACGACATGCAATTGATAATGCAAACAAAGGCAAAACATAAAGGAACCGGTCGATATGCTTCAGAGGTGGCGCATGAGCTGCAATTACGAACATAATAAGGTTTAGTTTAAGTAATAATTATTTTAATTTTGGAAGTCATACGTGAAAGTTGTGAAAGTAGATTCATACATCCTTATAGTTCCACTCAATAGGATCTTCACCGACCACCTTGCGAAAGGTGTGTCCGGGACTGCGGCGGATGTAACGAAAATCTTGACCAGGGAAAGTGCGTCACCTACAACATTCATAAGAGCAATTTAAAAGTATTTAGTTCACCGTATATATCAACACATGTGTAAGACATGTTTACATTTGATAACTAAGAGCATCCACTTACTTTATGGTGCAAATAAAACAAGTTGAGGATTGTGAAGAAATGAGCTCAAGCTTCCAATTGCCGGCAAGATAAACCTACAATATTTAAAAATCAATTGTTGAAGGCATCTTCAGTCCTCAATCACTTCATTATTAAACACATATGATGTTACATTATAGATCTCTAAAATAATACAAACAATTATACTATATTCATTAATATAAGCACGACAATAGCCCAAAAGTATCATGAAAACATAAATGTGTATATAACAATTTTCACCCAAATAGAAGTAGTATGCAATCACAACTCATTAAACACATATGATGTTACATTATAGATCTCTAAAATAATACAAACAATAATACTATATTCATTAATATAAGCACGACAATAGCCCAAAAGTATCATGA